GTGGAGGATGTTGAACCAGTGATGGAGGGAAGTTAAGGTTGTGGTGGTGGAGGATGTTGAACCAATGATGGAGGGAAGTTAAGGTTGTGGTGGTGGAGGATGTTGAACCATGATGGAGGGAAGTTAAGGTTGTGGTGGTGGAGGATGTTGAACCAATGATGGAGGGAAGTTAAGGTTGTGGTGGTGGAGGATGTTGAACCAATGATGGAGGGAAGTTAAGGTTGTGGTGGTGGAGGATGTTGAACCAATGATGGAGGGAAGTTAAGGTTGTGGTGGTGGAGGATGTTGAACCATGATGGAGGGAAGTTAAGGTTGTGGTGGTGGAGGATGTTGAACCAGTGTGGAGGGAAGTTAAGGTTGTGGTGGTGGAGGATGTTGAACCAATGATGGAGGGAAGTTAAGGTTGTGGTGGTGGAGGATGTTGAACCATGATGGAGGGAAGTTAAGGTTGTGGTGGTGGAGGATGTTGAACCAATGATGGAGGAAGTTAGGTTGTGGTGGTGGAGGATGTTGAACCAGTGATGGAGGGAAGTTAAGGTTGTGGTGGTGGAGGATGTTGAACCAATGATGGAGGGAAGTTAAGGTTGGTGGTGGAGGATGTTGAACCAATGATGGAGGGAAGTTAAGGTTGTGGTGGTGGAGGATGTTGAACCAATGATGGAGGGAAGTTAAGGTTGTGGTGGTGGAGGATGTTGAACCAATGATGGAGGGAAGTTAAGGTTGTGGTGGTGGAGGATGTTGAACCAATGATGGAGGGAAGTTAAGGTTGTGGTGGTGGAGGATGTTGAACCAGTGATGGAGGGAAGTTAAGGTTGTGGTGTGGAGGATGTTGAACCAATGATGGAGGGAAGTTAAGGTTGTGGTGGTGGAGGATGTTGAACCATGATGGAGGGAAGTTAAGGTTGTGGTGGTGGAGGATGTTGAACCAATGATGGAGGAAGTTAAGGTTGTGGTGGTGGAGGATGTTGAACCAATGATGGAGGGAAGTTAAGGTTGTGGTGGTGGAGGATGTTGAACCAATGATGGAGGGAAGTTAAGGTTGTGGTGGTGGGAGGATGTTGAACCAATGATGGAGGGAAGTTAAAGGTTGTGGTGGTGGAGGATGTTGAACAGTGATGGAGGGAAGTTAAGGTTGGTGGTGGAGGATGTTGAACAATGATGGAGGAAGTTAAGGTTGTGGTGGTGGAGGATGTTGAACCAATGATGGAGGGAAGTTAAGGTTGTGGTGTGGAGGATGTTGAACCAATGATGGAGGGAAGTTAAGGTTGTGGTGGTGGAGGATGTTGAACCAATGATGGAGGGAAGTTAAGGTTTGGTGGTGGAGGATGTTGAACCAATGATGGAGGGAAGTTAAGGTTGTGGTGGTGGAGGATGTTGAACCAATGATGGAGGGAAGTTAAGGTTGTGGTGGTGGAGGATGTTGAACCAGTGATGGAGGGAAGTTAAGGTTGTGGTGGTGGAGGATGTTGAACCATGATGGAGGGAAGTTAAGGTTGTGGTGGTGGAGGATGTTGAACCATGATGGAGGGAAGTTAAGGTTGTGGTGGTGGAGGATGTTGAACCAATGATGGAGGGAAGTTAAGGTTGTGGTGGTGGAGGATGTTGAACCAGTGATGGAGGGAAGTTAAGGTTGTGGTGGTGGAGGATGTTGAACCATGATGGAGGGAAGTTAAGGTTGTGGTGGTGGAGGATGTTGAACCAATGATGGAGGGAAGTTAAGGTTGTGGTGGTGGAGGATGTTGAAACCAGTGATGGAGGGAAGTTAAGGTTGTGGTGGTGGAGGATGTTGAACCAATGATGGAGGGAAGTTAAGGTTGTGGTGGTGGAGGATGTTGAACCAATGATGGAGGGAAGTTAAGGTTGTGGTGGTGGAGGATGTTGAACCAATGATGGAGGGAAGTTAAGGTTGTGGTGGTGGAGGATGTTGAACCAGTGATGGAGGGAAGTTAAGGTTGTGGTGGTGGAGGATGTTGAACCAATGATGGAGGGAAGTTAAGGTTGTGGTGGTGGAGGATGTTGAACAATGATGGAGGGAAGTTAAGGTTTGTGGTGGTGGAGGATGTTGAACCAATGATGAGGGAAGTTAAGGTTGTGGTGGTGGAGGATGTTGAACCAGTGATGGAGGGAAGTTAAGGTTGTGGTGGTGGAGGATGTTGAACCAGTGATGGAGGGAAGTTAAGGTTGTGGTGGTGGAGGATGTTGAACCAATGATGGAGGGAAGTTAAGGTTGTGGTGGTGGAGGATGTTGAACCAGTGATGGAGGGAAGTTAAGGTTGTGGTGGTGGAGGATGTTGAACCAGTGATGGAGGGAAGTTAAGGTTGTGGTGGTGGAGGATGTTGAACCAATGATGGAGGGAAGTTAAGGTTGTGGTGGTGGAGGATGTTGAACCAATGATGGAGGGAAGTTAAGGTTGTGGTGGTGGAGGATGTTGAACCAGTGATGGAGGGAAGTTAAGGTTGTGGTGGTGGAGGATGTTGAACCATGATGGAGGGAAGTTAAGGTTGTGGTGGTGGAGGATGTTGAACCAATGATGGAGGGAAGTTAAGGTTGTGGTGGTGGAGGATGTTGAACCAATGATGGAGGGAAGTTAAGGTTGTGGTGGTGGAGGATGTTGAACCAATGATGGAGGGAAGTTAAGGTTGTGGTGGTGGAGGATGTTGAACAGTGGATGGAGGGAAGTTAAGGTTGTGGTGGTGGAGGATGTTGAACCAATGTGGAGGGAAGTTAAGGTTGTGGTGGTGGAGGATGTTGAACCAATGATGGAGGGAAGTTAAGGTTGTGGTGGTGGAGGATGTTGAACCATGATGGAGGGAAGTTAAGGTTGTGGTGGTGGAGGATGTTGAACCAATGATGGAGGGAAGTTAAGGTTGTGGTGGTGGAGGATGTTGAACCATGATGGAGGGAAGTTAAGGTTGTGGTGGTGGAGGATGTTGAACCAATGATGGAGGGAAGTTAAGGTTGTGGTGGTGGAGGATGTTGAACCAATGATGGAGGGAAGTTAAGGTTGTGGTGGTGGAGGATGTTGAACCAGTGATGGAGGGAAGTTAAGTTGTGGTGGTGGAGGAGTTGAACCAATGATGGAGGGAAGTTAAGGTTGTGGTTTGTGGAGGATGTTGAACAGTGAGGAGGGAAGTTAAGGTTGTGGTGTGGAGGATGTTGAACCAATGATGGAGGGAAGTTAAGGTTGTGGTGGTGGAGGATGTTGAACCATGATGGAGGGAGTTAAGGTTGTGTGGTGGATGAGGATGTTGAACTCAAGATGATGGAGGGAAGTTAAGTGTTGTGGTGTGGAGGATGTTGAACCATGTTGGAGGGAAGTTAAGGTTGTGTGGTGGAGGATGTTGAACCAGTGTGGAGGGAAGTTAAGGTTGTGGTGGTGGAGGATGTTGAACCAATATGGAGGGAAGTTAAGGTTGTGGTGGTGGAGGATGTTGAACCAGTGGTGGAGGGAAGTTAGGTTGTGGTGGTGGAGGAAGTGTGAACCAGATGAGTGGAGGGAAGTAAGGTTGTGGTGGTGGAGGATGTTGAACCAATGATGGAGGGAAGTTAAGGTTGTGGTGGTGGAGGATGTTGAACCAATGATGGAGGGAAGTTAAGGTTGTGGTGGTGGAGGATGTTGAACCAATGATGGAGGGAAGTTAAGGTTGTGGTGGTGGAGGATGTTGAACTAGTGATGGAGGGAAGTTAAAGTTGTGGTGGAGGAAGCTGATGATCACTTGTTCTCTCTAGGCTGGAATACTGCTGTACATTAACATCTCCATTCAAGGCAGGTGAAATTGCAGATCTAGAGAATGTACAGAGATCCTTTACTGCACGTGTAAGTTCCATCAAACACCTTAACTACTGGGAACTCTTGGAAGCACTTGACTTGTACTCACTAGAGCGCAGGCGAGAATCTACACTTGGAAAATCCTAGAAAGACTGGTTCCTAATCTGCACACAGAAATCACTCCCTACGAAAGCCAAAGACTGGGCAAACGGTGCAAAATACCCCCAGTAAAAAGCAGGGGCACCACTGGTACACTAAGAGAAAACACAATAAGTGTCAGGGGCCCAAGACTGTTCAAGAGCCTCCCACAAAGCATAATGCGAATTACCAATAGACCCCTGGTTGCCTTCAAGAAGGAGCTGGACAGATAATGTCGGTGCCGGATCAGAAGGGCTGTGGCTCGTACGCTAGACTATGTACGGCCAGCAGTAACAGCCTGGTTGATCAGGCCCTGATTCACCGGGAGCCCTAGTCGTGGACCAGGCGGCGGGGGCGTTGATCCCCGGAACACCCTCCAGGTAGTGGTGGAGGGGGGTTAATGTAATGTCTCGTGTGTGCGTGCGTGTGTGGTGTGTGTGTGTGTGTGTGTGTGTGTGTGGGGTTATGTATGTGTGTGTGCGTGTGTGTGTGTGTGTGTGTGTGTGTGTGTGTGTGTGCGCGCGCGCATCCTTCATAGTGCACACTAAGCACTGGTCTGGTCGCTGTGCACATACACTCAACACTTTATATAATTCATAGGTACTACTGAGACATTCAGTAGGTACTATTGTAACATTCAGTAGGTACTACTGTAACATTCAGTAGGTACTATTGTAACATTCAGTAGGTAATACTGTAACATTCAGTAGGTACTATTGTAACATTCAGTAGGTACTATTGTAACACTCAGTAGGTACTACTGTAACATTCAGTAGGTACTATTGTAACATTCAGTAGGTACTACTGTAACATTCAGTAGGTACTATTGTAACATTCAGTAGGTACTACTGTAACATTCAGTAGGTACTATTGTAACATTCAGTAGGTACTACTGTAACATTCAGTAGGTACTACTGTAACATTCAGTAGGTACTATTGTAACATTCAGTAGGTACTATTGTAACATTCAGTAGGTACTATTGTAACATTCAGTAGGTACTATTGTAACATTCAGTAGGTACTATTGTAACATTCAGTAGGTACTACTACTACATTCAGTAGGCAATATTGCTACACTCAGTAGGTACTCACCTATTTACCTCATGTAGGTCCGTTAGGGTACACCTGAGGAATAACAGAGAAAAGTATTATTTAGTTTACATATAAATCAAGAGAGATTTATACCCTCAAGATATATATCCTCAATGTATATACCCTGAAGGTATATACTCTCAAGTTCATATATATCTAGAAATAAATGTCAACAATGTATATACACGAGAGGTATATACCCTCAGTATATATACACCGAGGTATATATCCCAATAGTATATATACACCGAGGTATATATACCCCTAGTGTATTTATATATATATATATATATATATATATATATATATATATATATATATATTACCTAGTAGTAGAAGTAGTAGCAGCAGCAGTAGTAGTAGACGCAGTAGTAGCAGTAGTAGTAGACGCAGTAGTAGCAGTAGTAGTAGACGCAGTAGTAGCAGACGCAGTAGCAGTAGACGAAGTAGTAGTAGACGCAGTAGTAGTAATAGTAGTAGACGCAGTAGTAGTAGACGCAGTAGTAGTAGTAGACGCAGTAGTAGTGGTATACGCAGTAGTAGTGGTAGACGCAGTAGTAGTAGTAGTAGTAGACGCAGTAGTGGTAGTAGCAGACGCAGTAGTAGTAGACGCAGTAGTAGTAGTACCAGGATTTGTAATAACATTAGCAGAGGCAGTGGTAGTAGTAGTAATAAGTAGTAGACATAGCAATAGTAAACTAATAAATGTTGTACTGGTATAGTAATAGAAGTACATGTAGTACTAGACGTAGAAGTACATGTAGTACTAGACGTAGAAGTACATGTAGTACTAGACGTAGAAGTACATGTAGTACTAGACGTAGAAGTACATGTAGTACTAGACTTAGAAGTACATGTAGTACTAGACGTAGAAGTACATGTAGTACTAGACTTAGAAGTACATGTAGTACTAGACGTAGAAGTACATGTAGTACTAGACTTAGAAGTACATGTAGTACTAGACGTAGAAGTACATGTAGCACTAGACGTAGAAGTACATGTAGTACTAGACATAGAAGTACATGTAGTACTAGACTTAGAAGTACATGTAGCACTAGACGTAGAAGTACATGTAGTACTAGACTTAGAAGTACATGTAGCACTAGACGTAGAAGTACATGTAGTACTAGACTTAGAAGTACATGTAGTACTAGACTTAGAAGTACATGTAGCACTAGACTTAGAAGTACATGTAGTACTAGACTTAGAAGTACATGTAGTACTAGACTTAGAAGTACATGTAGTACTAGACTTAGAAGTACATGTAGTACTAGACTTAGAAGTACATGTAGCACTAGACTTAGAAGTACATGTAGTACTAGACGTAGAAGTACATGTAGCACTACACGTAGAAGTACATGTAGCACTAGACGTAGAAGTACATGTAGCACTAGACGTAGAAGTACATGTAGTACTAGACTTAGAAGCATATGTAGCACTAGACGTAGAAGTACATGTAGCACTAGACGTAGAAGTACATGTAGCACTAGACGTAGAAGTACATGTAGTACAAGACGTAGAAGTACATGTAGCACTAGACGTAGAAGTACATGTAGCACTAGACGTAGAAGTACATGTAGTACTAGACGTAAAGTACATCTAGCACTAGACGTAGAAGTACATGTAGTACTAGACGTAGAAGTACATGTAGTACTAGACGTAGAAGTACATGTAGTACTAGACGTAGAAGTACATGTAGTACATAGGACTGTAGGAAGTACTTGTAGTACTAGACGCAGAAGTACATGTAGTACTGGAGGTAGAAGTACATATAGCACTAGACGTAGAAGTACACGTAGTACTAGACGTAGAAGTACATGTAGTACTAGACGTAGAAGTACATGTAGTACTAGACGTATAAGTACATGTAGTACTAGACGTAGAAGTACATGTAGTACTGGAGGTAGAAGTACATGTAGCACTAGACGTAGAAGTACATGTAGTACTAGACGTAGAAGTACATGTAGTACTAGACGTAGAAGTACATGTAGTACTAGACGTAGAAGTACATGTAGTACTAGACGTAGAAGTACATGTAGTACTAGACGTAGAAGTACATGTAGTATAGACGTAAGAAGTACATGTAGTACTAGACGTAGAAGTACATGTAGTACTAGACGTAGAAGTACATGTAGCAGTGGACGTAGAAGTACATGTAGTACTAGACGTAGAAGTACAAATAGCACTAGACGTAGAAGTACATGTAGCACTAGACGTAGAAGTACATGTAGTACTGGAGGTAGAAGTACATATAGTACTAGACGTAGAAGTACAAGTAGTACTAAACGTAGAATTACATGTAGCACTAGACGTAGAAGTACATGTAGCACTAGACGTAGAAGTACATGTAGCACTTGACGTAGAAGTACATGTAGTACTAGACGTAGAAGTACATGTAGTACTAGAGGTAGAAGATAAGATAAGATAAGATAAGATTTCGTTCGGATTTTTAACCCCGGAGGGTTAGCCACCCAGGATAACCCAAGAAAGTCAGTTCGTCATCGAGGACTGTCTAACTTATTTCCATTGGGGTCCTTAATCTTGTCCCCCAGGATGCGACCCACACCAGTCGACTAACACCCAGGTACCTATTTGCTGCTAGGTGAACAGGACAACAGGTGTAAGGAAACGTGTCGAAATGTTTCCACCCGCCGGGAATCGAACCCGGGCCCTCCGTGTGTGAAGCGGGAGCTTTAGCCACCAGACCACCTGAAGTAAATATAGCACTAGACGTAGAAGTACACGTAGTACTAGACGTAGAAGTACATGTAGTACTAGACGTAGAAGTACATTGTGGCATGCAAAGAGTACGTAACCTTTATTCGGCGCATGTACACACCCTCATTTACAGGCTATCTCCCCCAACCAGTGAACCAGGTTGCTAAGAGTTGATGATGGGGCCCCGTCGTTCAACTAGTGACCAGGTTCTAGCCAATAAGATGGTGGTTTTGGCAATCGCAGAGGTTATGTGGGTACCACTCTCCTGTCTGCCCTTGTCATTCCCATTCTAGAGCTGGTTGAAGCACGGTCTGCTATCTTGTGGCTTCTATTTCTGCCTTGCTTACCGTGGAGTGCACTATACTTATCACTGTAGATAGTGTACATATTGCTGTTCTAAATTGGTGAAGGATAAGTCTAAACTTTTTCTGCTGTGTTTATTTTGCTCCCATTACAACCGGGATAACAGGCCATTTGGATTCCTGGGTTGTAATATGGGTAGCCTGTCCGAGAGCTGGAGCTGGACTTAGAGAAACGGTTAAGCTAGTGACCAGGTTCTAGCCAATAAGATGGTGGTTTTGGCAATCGCAGAGGTTATGTGGGTACCACTCTCCTGTCTGCCCTTGTCATTCCCATTCTAGAGCTGGTTGAAGCACGATCTGCTATCTTGTGGCTTCTATTTCTGCCTTGCTTACCGTGTGCGTGCACTATACTTATCACTGTAGATAGTGTCATATTGCTGTTCTAAATTGGTAGGATAAGTCTAAACTTTTTCTGCTGGTTTATATTGTTGCTACCCATTAAACGGATATACAGGCCATTTGGATTCCGGTTGTATATGGGTAGCAATGTCGAGTGCTGGAGCATGACTTATGAGAACGGTTAAGCTTAGGGAGAAGCTACGTACGAACATTGTGCACTTGCTGTCTGCATTGCATTAGCTTGCCTCCTGGCTTACAAATTTGACGTTCAGTTACTGTTATGGTCTGCCTTGCTATTGTGTGATCGTTCCACAGCTCGCTACTAGTTGTCGGTGTGCATCGCACGCTACTGTCAATCTTCTAGAACAGTGGTAGTCTGATCGGCATTGGCTTTACCCAAAATTGCAGTATCTTGTTAACTAGGCCGTTCGGTGGAAGAATTTTGCAGTCAGCTTTGCTTGTACGCGATTCTGCAATCGTACGTCATAGCTAAGTGTTCTGCAAATTATCGTGTTACGTTGGGGTATTTTGATTTTACGTGCATAGCGCTTTGCCCTTTACGTCAAAAAACGTTGGTCGGTTTTTTAAATTTGGGGTGATTTTACTAAACCCTGGGGGGGGGGGGGGGAAGGGGGGGGGGGGGGGGGTTTTTGGGGGGGGGGGGGTTTAATTTGGGGGGGTGGGGGGGGGGGGGGGATTTTAATTTTTTGGGATTTTTGTAAAAAAAATTTTGGGGGGAAATTTTATTTTCGAAAAAAAAGATTAAGCTGCGAAAAAGCTTTCACGTTGTGACAAACTTATAGAAGAAAAAAATGGAAAACCAGACTCCCCCCTTTAGGGAGCTAGGCAAAAACTCATTTCTCGCGGGAGGAAGATGTAACCACGGGCAAAAGGGTCAGTAAGTGCCTGGGTTGTTCAAGGGGAAATCAGCGTCTTTGGCATTTAAAATGGCAAAAATAATCTTGAGAAAACAGGGAACAGGACATTCGAAAGGGAAGAATTTGATATGAAAGAGAAGGGGGCAGTTTTCGCATTCTGTAAATGTTTTAGTTTACAAAAAGCAGTACACTTATTCCCCGTTTTCAATGGGGCCAAAACCAGAACAATTTTCAAAAGCTTCAAAAAACAGGCTCAGCCTTGAGGTGGCCGGAAAGCATGGACATCTTTGGGTTTCATACAGCATTTTTGGGAAAAGGACAGGAATTTAAGTCAGCATAAATACGGAAATTTTCAATTATAAAGTAGTGGGGACCACAGTGGGGGGAGCAATACATGTATCCACCCAAATACCGAAGCTTTTAAATTTAAGCAGGGGGCAGCTTGGTAAATCCCTAGGGGACTTTGTAAACGAAAACCAAAGTTTTTACCACTGGTATAAAGCAAGTGGGTCTCTCCTTTGAGGAGCTGGAACAGCTTATTCTTTTTGATAACCGCTGGAGTTGTGGGACCAGGGGTTCGAGTCTTTTTCAGGATCGTGTTTAACCACGCATTGGAGGCAGCCAAGGGGTGAACCTTCGAAACTAATCCCCCTTGTCCGAGGGGTCCCTTTCCCTCTTTTTCAACACCTGAAAGAGCGAGATGAAAACCTTGGAGAAAAAGTGCCACCGGAGAGAGAACGTCT